TTCCTGGGAAGCTTCGCAGTCAGATTATACGCATTGTATGATACTGTGCTTTCTTACATGCTTATATGTATGTATATACATACATACATATACATATATTATGTAACTTCCATATCGAAGCTACATCGAGTAGGAGAACGGACTGATGGGCGCATACTTGTAGTTGAGATGTATTTAAAAGACTTACCATTTGAATTTGGCTTCATTCTTTTAACATGAAACCATCTTAAAAACTAAAGACAACATAGAACCACTCATGACCACACCTCCTGCCTACCAATTCTAGGCAATTGAGCAATATAGATACTTTCTAGGTAAACAAAAGTAACACTTTATAAGTCTCTTGTCACGACCATCATATTATTATATGTGGTACAGAAGTACGGATGTTGACAAGAACCAGCGACGTAGTTTATGAGGTGTTAATTGGAAAAGATTCTTCGAAGGACATCCATAAGTCGTAACGATGAATGTTTTAGAAGAGAGTACTGTATGAGCTCAAATAAACTCACCCTAAATACAGGGACTACCTACAGTAGGACACGAAGAACGTGTATTTGATATATAGAATTCCCACATCCCCCATAAGCAGGAAAACACATATTCTTACAAATGCTAAGCGTGGAGAGAAACTTCTGAAACTTGTCGAAGTATTATACCAGTTATATTGTAGTTAATTACGGGTAGCAGACATAACACAGTTCAACTAAAATATTAGCAGACCTTAAGACATGGAGGTGGATTACGTTTGATTCAAATACCAGAGAAGATAGATATAGATAGATCATATAAGTTGTATAAGTCCATGCTTCACCATTTGAATATGTTTGTCTAAATCAGGGGTGCTCACGCCAAGTGTGACTGCATTGTAACTTGAAAATAATTTCTTGATCGTGTAATTACAAAAAAAATCAGCGTTTTATGGTCAAGTCGTGCACAAGAAGTCAATCGCTAGTCAATAGGCAATTGCATAATGCTTTCATGAAAGAGCACTCAAACAAGCTCCTGGAGTTTAGTCAGAAGGATATTTTTCCCGATGAGAGCAATTTTTTCGTGTTTGAAATCATGGGGCGTGAGATTTTATAATGAAAAACGGTAACGACACTCCATAAGGAAATCTTGATGCATACTGTAAAGTATGGTGGTGGTATGGCTTGTAATGGTGTGGGCCGAGTGGAAGTCCCCCATAGACAAAGACGCATACCTTAATCCGTTTCCATAACGGTAGGGTCTACGTAACCGGAACGGACCCGGATTTTTTCCGGCCAAGGACTGCCAACTCGATAAAATTCTGCCGCTACAACAACAAAAACATACCTTAATAATTTAAAAATAAATTTGAAGCAAGGAGCGGGAGAATCTACTACAAGGTAACGACTCGGAAGCATACAGCAGACTTATTTAAGCTTTGATTACATCATTTTAAAAGTAATGGCGCTTTGTGTTGATTCAGTTCCAACCAGGGGCCATCACTAATCCTTGAAGATTCATCTAAAATCAGTCGGACAAAAAATTAGTTTTATTAATAGATAATCTTGTGCCTGATCGACTTTTTTTGTTTTTAATTAAAAAATGGCGGTCTCAGGTGTTTGTTTGTAAATTTTCTAGAAAAATATACCAGTTAATTGTTTATAGAAATAGAAATTAAAAAAATTCCTTTGATCAGACACTATTTTTTCATGTTAAGGTGAGAAATTCTTATACGTTACTGTGGATAATTGGGAAGATCACCAAATAGAAAATTATGCCGTTCTTGGCATTGACTGAATACCCTACATTCAAAATCAAATTCGTCACATAATTACAGGCAATCCATAACATTTACCGAGGCGGAAAGAGTACGAAAAAAACCGAATTGAAAAAAAAAATTTAAAAACACAAAATTGAATGGGAAGTAAAATAGTAGAAAGACTGTGTCACAAGTAATGAGGCTGTATGACAAATCGCGCAATGAGGCATGAAGGCAAGGAAATAAAATAAAGTAAAGAAATGTGAATGTGAATAATGGCAGGAGAAAAGAAATGTTTTTGTTGTGAAAAGAATTGGCTGCCGCAGAAATGTGCCGTAGAGGCCGCTTTAAAAGTTTGTGTTTAGCTGGTGTTGGTGTGTGATGTTTGGTTAGCGGAACCTTGCCGAGATCCGAAAATATACAGAGAATTTCTACGAACAAATTGAGAAATGCCATTAAAATGCGATAAGAAAAATAGCAGCAACTCGAGGGGAAAATAAATGTAGAATTTCACGTTTTTTGCCACTGCCGTAGAATTGAATGAAATTGACAACAGTAAAAACAACAAAAGACGGGGAAATGTGACAAATGATTGGAAAGCATGCAAAACAACAACAAAAAAGGAAAAAAGAAAAAAAATGAAACACCCTTGTGAGGTTTGATGCAACACTTCAGTGTAGCGACACAGCTGATGGTCTGAACATCCCTACAAGAAACTGCTGATGGGTTCACCAACACACTCTCATTTGATATGTCAGTACTGACGGACAGTTTACTTGTCAGCTGACCGTCACAGTTATTTTGTAAACAGAGACATTTTCGAATTATATTGCTTACATGTGTAAGAATGAAAAACCATATCGAAAAGGGACGCATAAAATTCCATATAAGTTTCTCAACAACTGCGCAAACCAATTTTACTGTTCTTCTTGCCACAAACGAAAAGTGTCGCACGCTTCTGTGCAAAACTCTTTTGGGTTTTTTGTTAAAAATATAAAATTTTATGAAAGAGAGGTGTTTTCAAATATAATATACATACGTAAGTTAAATAAGTTTCAAATAAAAGTATATATTTAGTTAATTTACATTTGCATTTTTAAATTCAGAACTATCCACTGATTGGAGAAAGACGTACGCAGAGCTATTGAGAGGAGGAGATGGCATCAAGTGAAAATTTATTTTTATATTTTCATATTTTATTATTTAAGTATATTTTTTGTTGCATTCCTTTTTATATTTAGGTATATTATTATAACTAATTTTGATTAAAAGTTTGAAATTTAATAAAGAAATAAAAATTATATTATCTACTGCGCAAAATAATTTTTCACTTCTGATAGCGTTTCAGTCATAACTGACAATTTTCAGCTATGACGGATTTATGGTCAGCAATGACTCAGAAAAAGGCATGAGAGTGAGCAGTATAGATATATAGTGAATCAATTCCGAATACCCATGTGTTAAAGAGAGATGCAAACTCACACACATACGTTTGTTTACATCAGTTTTTGCACAATGCTCTTAAGAAAATGATAGAACTTTGTTCTGCGCGCTGACAAAAATTTTTTCAGCTATGACTGTCATATTACCCATCAGATGACCGTCACTGTTCTTGTAGGGATGCTATTAATATGAGTGTGTATGTGTGGCTGTACTTATTATTCACGTACATAAGTGTTCGCAACAATTCTGCGCATACGACGGATAATAGAAAATTCATTAAAAAGTTGTTTCGTTGCGTACTACAACTGCTTTCGTACTTATTATTGCTGCCACCGCGCTAAGTTGTTGCAGTTGTACATACGGTAAACACTAATATTTAAACTGAGATTGCAGTTACACATAGCAGCAATTGCATGAACTTTCTACAAAACTGAAGAAATTAGTTGCTATAAATTTACATTTATTTAAACAAAACCTTTGATGATTGCAACAGATGAGAGCGCAGCAACGGAGGCAATAATGCGGGCGCATAGACGCACTTCGGCAGCAATAAAATGACAGACAACAATAATGGCGTACAAAGCGCGAAGCACACGTACAGACATACTTATATGAGATATATGCATGAATGTACCATATACATACATAAGTATGTTTATCTAATTGTCGGTTCGGTGCCCCCCGTGAACCTGCATATCCGAAAATAGTGCGCGCTTGCATACGACATACACATACATGTATATAGCATAGATATCTTTTTCATTGGCGCGCATAAGAATATACTACATAAGTATAATGCTGCACGCATCCAGTCAGCGTCAGTTCTTAATACAGTCACCTCCTCGGCTTTACGAGCATAATGTATGAAAGGGCGAAGTGAGTGCGACGGTGTGATGCGCGCACTTGTGTAAATATAAAGTATGTATGCTATGCGGTGCGGTGCTAACGCATACATGCATACATACGAGTTCTGACAAACACAATCTGTTGTGCGGCCTACCTATTATTTAACTGAAATGTGACCGCGACAATGTGAATGCAAACAGGGCAGCATCACTGGATAGCAACAGTGGCATTGGTTTTGTATGTTTGTACATAAATACATACGTATGTAAGTATGTTACATTTTGTGTAGTGGCATTGTGGCGTTGAAGGTGGCACTTGAAATAAATAGTAGACATCTACATACATATATGATTATCACATTGTAATTTAGGCTAAAAATATTATGACATATTAACTGAAAAGCATTGTACGAGTACATACTATGGCTAAACAGCTGATTATTCGAGAAGTAGAATTTATTATCTAGAAATCAGTACCGTTCTTGGTTGATTAATTAGGCGCCTTTTTGCAGGCATGGTATTAAGGACGTGTTCGAGATGCAATCATTGCGGCAATGTTTAATTTTATGACAGAACATTACGTTCTTTGGTAAAATTTCGGCAACAGTGACAACATCACGCGTACGATTAGTAAATTGTTGACAATTTGTTGCTCATCATTAGCAAATCGAACACAACACAAAAATTTTCAATGCGCTATTGCAAGTGTAGAACGAAAAGTGAGTCAATATTAGAACAAATGTTTTCTTGTATTATAAAACTGTATAATATATAACATTAGTTTAAAATTGAGCGTAACTTAATTCAATTTAAGTATTAAACAAGAAAAAACGTTCACTGCCGATAAAAAAAAAGCTGGATAAAAGAAACGTATTTTTAAGTAATTATTTGCTTTATTTATTAAGAATCACATTACTTAAATATAATTAGTTTAAGTATTAAATTTTAAATTACACAATAGTAAGTTAATATAATACAGGGAAATTAATTGAATTAGTACATTTAGTACTCATACTGCACTAAGGGCAAATTATGATGAATGAATACTAATTTCTCCGCATTGAGAGGTAGCAAGCGGTTGCGTTTCTCTTCATAAATAAGCCCAGCTTCGGAAAAAAGTCTTTCGCTATACACACTGCTGCAAGGAGAAGAAAGGTAGATTTTAACAAACTTTGTCAAATTGGGGTATTGTTTGGCATTAGCTGCCCACCAAGAATAAGGTTCGCAAGTGCGATCAATTCGCACTGCCTTGAGATAAAAATCCAGCTCACAGGTTATCGCATTTCTTTCTTCACGTTGCACTTGGTCAGTGTTGTTTTCATTTGCTACTTCATCAAAGCAGTCCCAGTCATGAGCTTTGCAAGATACAGTTGGCTCTGTTTACTCTCCTCTACTCTTTTTAGCCGGTGTTGAACATGAACTGCTACTTGAAGACTCTTCACAAGACATTTTCAAATATTCCAATAAGATCTCCTGGCATACTTTTGCAGCTTCAATCACACCCAAGTAGTTTGTTTTGAATCTAGGGTCTAGATAAGTTGCAATCAAGTAGTTTGAGTCTTGACTTATGGAGGTAAAACGAGTTTCTAACTCAGCTTTTAACGAGGCTCGCATATGTGATAAATCAGGAGTTCTTTGCTCAGTTTCAGTTTTATCAAAGTATTTTTTTAAAGCAATAAAGTGTGGTATAACTTCCGACACGCATGATAGTCCAGAACTTGTTATTTTAGTAATTTCTTCGAAGGGCTTTAATAAATTGATACGCTGCTCCATCAAATTCCACTGTTGAGCTGTCAAATTTATGAGCGTATCGTGATCAGCAACATACAATGATATGGCCCGCTTCTGTTCTAACAAACGCTCAATCATGTAAAAAATGGAATTCCACCTAGTGCTAACATCTTGCACTAACTGATGCTCGGGTAAACTTAGCTCTTTTTGGATCCTCAGCAGTTTTTCTTGAGCTAGACCTGAGTGATTGAAGTGCGTCACAAGTCGCCTTCCAGCAGCAATTGTAGCTGTTACTTCAGTCTGTATTTTGAGCGACTCGTATATGGCTCTTTGAAGCGTATGTATAAAACATCTCGCAGAATCGTATTTAGCCAAACGAACACCCTTCACTATATTAGCACCACTGTCATGAATGAACAAATGTATTTTAGTGTGCTCAATATCCCAGGGGTTTGCGATATTGTTGAGTTCCATTGCTATATTTTCTCCTGTGTGTGAACCTGAGAAAGGCTTCATTGCCAGAACTCCGTGTTCTAGTTTAAACTCAGGTGATATCCAATGAGCTGTAAAACTCAGAAAGCTAGCATTATTGTGTAAGCAAGTCCATATGTCAGATGTCACTGAAATAGCGAAGGCACTCGAAATGTTATGTTTGATTTTCTCGTAAATTCTATCATACATCTCAGGAACGATTTTTTGTGCAATATAAGTCCGGCTTGGCAGTTTATAGCGGGGTAAAGCTTGTTCTAAGAGCCTGGTAAAACCGGTTCTTTCCACTATGGAGAATGGCTCGTTGTCGAGTGCAATCATTTCACCTACTAAATAATGGTACTTTGTCGCTTTAGTATCACTTATATCCCAGAGCAATTTCCTTTCGTAAGATTCTGTCATAGTCAATTGCTTTTTTGCTACTGAAGATGAACTTGTCCCCGCAATGACTAAAGAAACTGTAGTAGCCTCAACAGCTTTCTTGTCTTTATTCAAAGCAATAAATTCTTCTGGATGTTTTGATTTTAAATGATTTTTCATTGCAGAAGTACCTAGAAAAAGTACTTAATTAGTAGTATAAATAAATAAAGGTAAAATTAGTAGGTATAAAGATACTTCTATAAATAACATTAAATATTATATTTACTTAAAATAGTATGTGCCTAACAGCAACTAGATACTCGTAGATGGATAAACGATAAATTACAATAAAAAAACACAACCTCATAGCTATCACTACCAGTCGTTTAAATAAATAATAATAAATAAATAAATAAATATTCCACAACATCACATACATTGATCTGACCCAAAAGTAAGTAGCACTTAAGCACTTGTGTTATGAGAATCAGAACAACAGTGGATACAAAAAGGAAATACCCCAAAATCAAAAATTATTGAATATGTTACGAAACTTGCAAGATATCATTTTACTTGAAAGGTATTAAAATTATTGCAATTAGATTAATTATTATTAGCTACATACCTGCTTTTTTCCCTTCGCCACCACGAGAAATATTAACATTGCATAATAAACAAAGAGCAAACTTTTTATTTTCACTGCTTATGTCAAAGTCTTCCCATAAAGGCCATCTTTTCTTCATCGATGCCATTTCTCGTTGCTAAATCTTTTAGACTTATGTATATAAGTAATTATGTATGTACTTCAAATAATAAGAGCACAAATAAAATTATAACCTAAAAACGATCACACACGTGCCTGCACTGCATGCAATCGACACAATGGACGGTACAATTGTTAACTTCACTCATCTGCGAAAAGACCCGAATCGAACCGAGTACACCCGATCATTCGCGCGACGCCTCCGCAAACGGCTAAGCTTCGCCGGATATTCGGCGGCCGGATACTCGGCTATCCGGCCACTTGGTCGGCCGAGTATCCGGTAACCGGTATCCGGCCAAACTGCTATCCGTTTCATCTCTAATTCAAATGGCCTCCACGACTTCTTTTTCCGGAACGAATTTGAGCACGTTCAATATTGACTTATAAAACTTGAAAAGAGTAAGGTTTATTGCTTAAGACCAATGACTTGACCAATAACCCCACAAGAATTAGCCTAAGGGTGTTAAATCACAACTTCTTGGAGGGCATTCAATGTCACAATTTCTTGAAATAATCGGATCTGCAAACTTTTCCCGCCATAATTCGCTTGTTGCACGTGCTTAGTGACACTAACGGTCTTATTCGCTTCATTTCGAAAGAAGTACGAACCGCTGATTCCACCAGACCAAAAACCACACCAAACTGTCAATTTATTATGTGTGGATTTTCTTCACACCAGAATCGATAGTTTTGTTTATTTACCGCAACACTCAAATGAAAGTTAGCCTCATCGGAGAATATGATTTTCTTAAAAAAATCGTTATCGTTTTAAGTTGTTCCAAGAAATCAGGAAATTCACGAAGTTAACGGTGGCTCAATGGCTTCCGCCAGGTTGTGGTTTGAGACAGTTCCAATTCTTGAGAACGTCTTGGAATCGACAAATTGCGGTGTTCAGTAGCACTTGCCTGAACGGCAGCAATAATTTCATTACTTCTTTGCCTTATTGGCATTTGAACATTATGTAAAGAAAATGAATAGCGAGCACAGGTTGACGATTATTACGATCATAAAATGGCAAAAGCGCGCGAAAAGTTGCAATTGAAGAACGATTATTGTGATAATAAAATTAAATAATAATTTATAAATGTTGTTCTTGCGTATGTGTGTCCATGATGAAATTGTAAACATTACTGAATACAATGAAAAAAAATTAAGGATCATGACATAATAAAAATGGCAGAAACGAAACTTAGAAATCATATCATCCCTATTGGAAAACCCGATATATACTATAGTGGTCTAAGCAATTTCTTCGGAGAATGTACCGTTGCTTTCGAAAACAATCCACGACAAATTTCGTACGGATATCTCGGCAATCGTTTACGTTTACGGTATAGTGATCCGATCTGAACAATTTCTTCGAATATTACACCGCTGCGTTAGACAATAGTCCATGCCAAATTTTAGGAAGATATCTTGTGAAATAAACAATTTCCCATGCAAGGACTGGATTTTTGTCGATTAGTTTGTATGGCAGCAATAGTTATGTAGTGTCATCTTCGAAGAAATTGCTTATTACCTTAGATAATAATCTATGAAATATTTCTTGAAGATATCTCGCCAACTAAAAAAGCTTTCTATTCAAGCACTTGATTCCGATTGTTCAGTTTGTATGGCAGCTATATGACATAGTGGTCCGATATCGGCGGTTCCGACAAACGAGCTGTTTTTTGGGGGAAAAAAAAGATGTGAGCACAATTTCAGATTGATATCTCCTAAAATGAAGGATTACTTAGCGTATATATAGACAGACAGACGGACATGGCTAAATCGACTCAGTTCGTCGTGCTGATCATTTATCTCTCTATTATATATAAAAGTTTTCTGCTGTTGTCGAGAATCAACTAACATAAGAGCGAGCTAGCTCGCGCTCGGCGGGGGGTGGACGTAGGTGAGCGAGCGAAGCGAGCGTCTCGGAGCGCAGCGGAGGGCGCCTAGTAACATATATATATTATATATATTTTATGGGTGATGCTTCCTTCTGGTATTTAGGGTATAATAAGCGTAACTTAATGCAATCCAAGTTTTCAAAAAGTTTTAACTTTCCTTCGTTTGAAACACTTATTCTTCTTTTGTCAGTGTTTAACAAAATCTTATCAATGACCCTCTCCATTAAGTAAATAACAAGGTTGAAGTGAAGTCCAAATCACTTAAATTTTTCCTAATACTTAGATCGAGCCAAGCGCAAACACTTAGACTATTATCACGCCCATGCGCTTTCAGCTGAGTCCCATTAGTACACTATTCAATACTCGCTGTGTTTAGCATTTTCTCTAAGTTTTCTTCCAACCTAGATACCCTATTTCTTTTAGATTATAGTATAGGGAACAGTGAATGATATCACATACCAACCAACTGAAGACTGTATTCTGCCGAATAGCTGTGACGACCTCTACCATGTTACCCATTGAAATTTTTTCTAAAATCGGAATTTGTTGCGTTCCATTACCTGAAGCTTTCTAAAATAGCATTTCGACTGACACGCGTGATGTTTTGCTTCAAAGCCTGAATCGGAGACCGATGATGCTATCGGCCCACAAACCACACCAAACCGTTATTTTTCTGGATGAAATGGCAGCTCTTGAATCTCTTCAGGTTGCTCTTTTATTGAGTAAGAAATGGGCCTCTTTGCTGAACAAAATTTGGCTCGATAACGTCGGATCTTCTTGGAACTTTTAAAGAGCCCATGAAGCGAAGCGATGACACTTGGGAAGGTCGCGCTGCTTCAGTTCTTGTACAAGCTGTATTTTGTTGTGAATAGTACGCTCGGTAGGCCGATTATGTTGACCATAAGTTGAGCGAAGCGCGCGAACTACATTCTTTACAGAACGTGAATTTTCGTAAAAACATTTAACAATTTGTAAACGCTATTTAGGAGTAAGTCTTTACATGATGAAATGCCAAACAATACTTAACAAAAATATTAAGACAGCTTGACAGAACTCATGCGTGATCTGTCAAAAAAGGCTATTGAAACACCCATTGAGTTTGACATTAAAGGCCAATTGTTTGTCTCTTAGATTACAAAACGTTATAAGAATTCTGAAGTACATGGAGTTTCTAAGGTAAAATCCTTATTCACGCCTTCTGTTAACCCCACAATTTTGACAAATCATACGGAACTGTAGTCACATAGTTTGAAGCTATCTTAAACTACTCCTAAGTCAGCTTTAAATTTTGGCAAATCGATATACATATATGTATATATTTCTACGTCTGTACTTCGAAAACTATACCATTGGTCCCTTATCCTTTGTAAGAAAAATAGTATGTTTTATTCATCTTCCCAGAGTTCTCTTTTTCTCCGTAGATAGATACTTGTATATTGGGAGAATATGCACCGGAACCATAGGTCTAATGTGCCCGCTGATTCTTTCATATTGTTTCGTTCAGTACTAAAGCCCTTAGAAAATCTAGGATGCTTGAGGAATTCATTGTTTTAATGTGACTTTGCTTCGGCTGCATGATTCCTAAATTCATTGCGTTTCAACAATATGTACGCTGGTATCTCGGATTTTAGCTCACAGAAGCGACAAGTTTCGTGAGAGCTCATTGCTATTCTGTGCACATGTTTGCGTAGTCTGCAGTGTCCTGTTAGTATTCCTAAGTTAGTTTTACTATATAATATGATATGATACTTTTAAATGTTCTGGTGTTGTAGTCGTCTATTAGTTGCTTTTCGTAGCTTTTATTACCATATTTGCTTATGAATCTGCACACATTAATAATTCTTTAATTGTTTTATCCTGGAAAACCCATGGCTTCGGTTTCGATGCAATCAGCTACATTAACATTACCTGCTATAGCTCAACGAAGAATGAAAAAAATTGTGAAGATGAGGAAATAAAAGCAATGTGTATGAAGAAACTCAGCAGAAATTAACCACAGTCGTTTAGGCTTCAATAACGATTGTTTGCTCATAATATTTAAAAGGCTCTCTCGCGTCGCTCTTTGACGTGTCACTCTTGTTTAACCTACTTATGCTAAGAGCTCATATACATTTGTACATATAACATGAGTTGTTATATTTAGTCCCATAGAGAATTTTCCCGTTAGTTCTCATGTTCGACAATGCTTTCAGACATTTACACTTTGTTTATACTTAGCTGTAATGTACAGCTTGTAAAATGCTAACACAATATGAATGGCAATTAGATCTCGGGGACTTACAACTTACGGCGCATAAGTTACTAGCAATGACATATTGTTGACACATTCATCAGTTCAAAAACGCGTTGCCGCAATGCATTAGCGGATAAGTCAGTAGCGTCGGTGGCTGACTCGAAACTGTTGCAGCAGTCAGGTGACATTTTACCTTAGCAATGACAGGAGTGACTGAGGAAACTGAAGTCGCCACAAATCCAACTGTAAGCAACGTACATCATACCATGGCTTTTACAAAATCATACAAATGAATTTAACAGCTTCTCCGACCAAAAGCCAGCCAAACAGATGAGCAAGTAGACTACCGAGCCGAAAGATACAAGATCAAATACGAAAACTATAACCGTTAAACACATCAATATGTACATACATATGTCTATGCATATGAGTGTTTGCTTGAGGGCAAGCGGCAGCGCTCATAAAAGATGTGCAGCAGAAGATGCCAGCATGAAAAAGTTTCCTGCTAGCTGGCATTGCGTGGCAAATACATATGTATGTGTGTGTAATCAGATAAGTAAGTGCATGTGTTTATGTGAAGAAAAGTATGACTTTTTCAATGCTTGTCCACAGTAAACTATTACCTATGTACATATGAATTAATGTGAGCACAACCCTATACACGTATACATACATACATACACAGATGCCTTGCGCATACTTTGAAGGTAAAAATTTTGTGGCACGTTGTGAGCAAGCTCATTGCGTTGCAGTTGCTACTGCCAGCCACACACCGCCACTTCAACTCGAGCCACTACCTAATTCTGCTCACCTCTTCGCACCCTGGTTCCTCTGTGGCACGTATAAATTTCAATACTGCAACAGCGGAGCCGACTAACCATCTCATCCAGCACGCCGTTTTTATACTCTCGCAACCTGTTGCTACAGAGTATAATAGTTTTGCTCACCTAACGGTTGTTTGTATCACCTAAAACTAATCGAGTTAGATATAGGGTTATATATATATAAATGATCAGGATGAAGAGACGAGTTGAAATCCGGGTGACTGTCTGTCCGTCCGTCCGTCCGTCCGTGCAAGCTCTAACTTGAGTAAAAATAGAGATATCTTTATGAAACTTGGTAGACATGTTTCTTGGTACCGTGAGACGGTTGGTATTGCAGATGGGCGTAATCGGACCACTGCCACGCCCACAAAACGCCATTAATCAAAAACAAATAACTTGCCATAACTAAGCTCCGCAATAAGATACAAGACTGTTATTTGGTACACAGGATCACATTAGGGAGGGGCATCTGCAGTTAGAACTTTTTTTTAAAAAGTGGGCGTGGTCCCGCCTCTAATAGGTTTAATGTGCATATCTCCTAAACCGCTAATGCTATAATAACAAAATTCACTAGAAGCAAACGTTTTTAGCACTTCTATTGACGGTGTGAAAATAGTTGAAATCGGGTGGCAACTCCGCCCACTCCCCATATAACGGTACTGTTAAAAACTACTAAATGCGCGATAAATCAAGCACTAAACACGCCAGAGACATTAAATTTTATCTCTGAGATGGTATAAATTGGCTTTATAGAAACCGCGTTCAAAATTAGACAGTGGATGTGGCACAGCCCACTTTTAGGTGAAAACCCATATCTTGAGATCTGCTCAACCGATTTCAACCAAATTCGGTGCATAACGTTCTTTTCATGTTTCTATGTCATAGTGCGAAAATGGGCGAAATCGGATTACAACCACGCTTACTTCCCATGTAACACCATTTTCAATTCCATCTGATTCTTTCACATTCCACTATGCAAATCAGGTAACAATGATTATATCGCGGTAAAACTTTGCGTGAATAATGCAATTAAAGTATGCCACCTTGCGGCCAAAAATTGTCTAAATCGAACCAAAACTGTTCAAACCCCTAAGTACTAAATATGTGGACCCCAGTGCCTATAGTTGACCTTCTACCGAAAATATCAGTCAATCCACAAAGAAATCTCAAACGAGTATACCATTTGACTTTGCGAGAGTATAAAATGTTCGGTTACATCCGAACTTAGCCCTTCCTTACTTGTTTATTTTTGTTTATTGCCATGAGCGCTCGTCTTGCTGGGGGGCTTCTTATGGCGAAGTGTTGAAATATGTTGCTGCCACGGCTGCATAAGTGCCCGGTAGAATGCCAAAAAAGCACCGCCGAGTGTTGAAAGAGTGTTGCAGAAGCCTCAACGGGCTGGGGGTTGGCCCGCACTAAAAAGTATAATAATTATATGTAGTGGCAGTGTCACATATACACGTGTATACATACCGTATATACACTCACATACTTATGAGCATCTGTAGTCACATGTGATGCTGCAATGCAGCGCTGTTTGAGTGTACATTCAAATGTATGTACGTGTCTGTGATTGTGGAGGCAACCGTGCAACAAGTTGGGGTAACCAGCACGGCAGCTAGTGGTTGACTGGGTAGCTGCAGCTGTCTGCCACTGGTGTCGCGCAATACAGGAGCTAAGCCTGAAGTTTGCTTGTGGTTGCAGCCTGCTGCAAGCTGCCTTCTGTTGCCTGTTCGCCTGCCTATAGTGTTCCCCTCTTGATCTTCTATGCAGCTCACTCAGCTCTGAATACAACTTGACTGCTTCCCTTGCATGTTATTGCAGTCGCTTGACACGTTAAGTTGTATGTGACTTTTGTACTTCTATCCCATTGTTTTGTTGTGTCTAATTCTAAGTTTGTTGTTGTTGTTTGCGTTACTGTTGCTGCTGTGCCTTTTATGCGGAATCGAGTTCATTTCAATTTCGGTTTCAACTGAACATTTGAGGTGTTTACGCACACACAAATATGGTTGGAAAATAAATAAATGGGACTGTCTCTCGGTTGAAATCTATTTAAATTGGGGGTGTAAAATGCTGAGCGTCAGCAAGTGGTGTTAAATTTTCGTCATGTGCGTCGAGTTCGCTTGAAAATCTAGCAGTAGATTTGAGTAAGAGTAGGCATGAAAACGAATCCAAAAGGGAAGTTCTGCAGAGTTCAACCAATAATTAGAGATCAACACATTAAAGTGAAACTCACGTCAGTTTCATAAAATATTTCTGTTGATGTTGTCAAAAGTGTGCTTTAAGTTTATTAATGAATACATAAGTATATGCAAATGTACATATGTATGTATTGTATATGCATATTGATGTATGTACATATCATGCCATTGACCTTCTAGCACATAAACAATTTTTACGACCAGCTGTTCCGCGATCAATTTGTACTATGAAGAGGTGGCTGAGAACCCTCGGTTAAGAGTTAAGAATGCATTAATGATCGTGTGGTATAATAAATTGAGTAAATAGAAAAATATTAAGCGGAAGTATTAATTTATCTTGAATTTCCCACTTTAAAGAACTAAAAAAATATTTCACAGATTGTAAGAAATTGCACATCTAAACTTATTACCGATCCTTGATATATTAGATATTATGATACATATATCAAAAAAATAGATACATACATACATATATCACTATTCGCTGTCACCAACAAATAATTTATTTGATCGTACGTACACATGTACTGTGGAATGAATGTGGAACTTTAATTCGAATTAAAGCTCTCTCCGCTGCTGTTTCGTGCTCTTTGTGTTTTCGTGGTTTTGGCTTATATTTCGCACACCAGATTCCACTTATCTTTGGATTCAAACATTCGGTCTACTAAGTTTTCAGGGGTTGGATCTCTACCAAATTTATTCTTTGAGCCTTCTTCCTAATCGTCTTTCTTGCTCGTATTGCGGACAGTAGGACAATGCCCCACTCTACAATGGTATAATCGTGCTCTACATTCTTAATCGTATCATGAGCAAATGTCATATATGTCATCATCCTCATATTTGAATCGTTATAAAATCGCTTTGAAACTGCTATGTTCTGTGAGAATTTGGGTTTGGCCTTTTTAGCCATGGCTCAATGTTGGGGATCAGTCGGAACGTCCAACGTCCATTTCGACTGACTTCCAATAATTATAAATTTCTGGGTTCATCTCTTTGGCTAAGAGATCTAATAGGTGTTAGGGCAGCATCTTTCGATACTGTCCCAAAATACGATCATACTATACTCTGAGTGTACAAATGGTGTAAATGGAAAAAAGGCCATGCTTTCCCCCATACTTCAGCGTCATATGGAGCAACAGACTTTAAAACTCCAGTCATGAGGTTTGCTTAGGTCCATTGGTATTAAGCAGAATTCGGGATAAAGCTCGGCATATTTTTGAAGCTTTTTCACATGTTTAGGCCAAGTGTTCTTTAAAGGACATTCTTACATCAAGAAAAATTTCAAAATATTTAAGGGCTGGTTGTGTAGTTATACTAACACCTTTTATGCTGAATGTAGCAGTCTCACAGGGTTTCCTGCCAGTAATAAGCACAGCTTCCGTTTTGCTCTCTGTTCAGCAATGTCAACTACAAATTCAATGATATGAACATTTTTAGGTACTTTGAGTCACAGTACTCAGTCGCACATTATGTTTCAAAGTAGGAGCCCGAGTACAGATCTCTGTGGTACACCACCGGTGATTTCATCTTCCTAATAGACTTTGCTTGGCTTTTATGCCAAGAACAATTAAAGAAATTTTCCGTTATTCGTTTTGAGATTCGGTCGGATCAAAATTAAGTAGTGTTTGGAAGTAACCTTTGTCATACTTCTAAAGATTGAACAAAAGCTTCGTAAGTATATCGATAAAGCACTCTGAAGCTATAAACATCTGTTCAGGCACCTAATTTCGACTTCATCTAGTTCGCATAAATGATTGAAGGTGTGGAATCAAACGTACTCTTGTCTAAGCTAGACAGTTCAGGAGAAGTGCCGAGATAATTCTATTTCCCCATTTTTCAGATGAAATACCTTAGCGAGAGCAAATAACTGAATTCAACCTCTAGTGATCTACTCTGGGTTTGAGTGACCTTGCACTGCACCAGCGCTGATAACTGACTAGCGTTTACTGAGCTTACCCTCACAGCTATCATGAAAAGCGTAGATATCTGAATCAATCCTTCTTTGATGATATTGAGACCTCATTCAAGTCTTATCATCTAGTAGCCCTATGCCAAAAATTATACGGATAAACACAAAGTCAGTGAATAGTAGCGTGCTCTCTGAAGCTACAAGTATTTCTTGAAAAACGCTGTACTGTGGTGTTGCAAGCCTAAACTAGAAATAATGACGAGCTCCAGACAAAAACCATCTAAGCTTATATATAGTATATATCAACGATAACGTTAAATACTGCGAAAAGACCGACTGGACACGATAAATGTGAAATGTGGACAAAAAGACCCCGATAAAGAAGAAATGACGCGTCTGAGAATTAATGAGGAAGAGAAACGACGATCTAAATATATCGCAGATTCAACCCAATCGACAATATCATATGATCCTATAAAAGCAGGCTCATCTAATTTAAACGCAGACATAATATTGTTACAAAAATATTCGTCAACTTAGTCGCTCAGGTCGCGTGCTTGTAATTCAAAAAAAACAAAAAAACAAAAAATGTGGAAAGACTTCATCACTCCAAAAATAGTACCGACGCTGGACAGATGCCCCTTAAGTGTAAGAGATACCGTATATGTTCAACTACTATTAAGGCACTAATACTTAAAAGCCCTCAGTTCAAAAAATAGGGCACCGAAAAACCGTGCGGAATGTATTAAAATAGATTTCCAACATGAGATGCCAGAGTTTGTGGTTGTTAACTTCGATGGAAAATTGTTGTCTGCTTGAGATGCTCAGAAATCAAAAGAAGAAAGTCTTGCAGTTTTTATTTGATACATAAATAAAGAAAGATTGATAGCTGTGTCAAGATTAGAAAAGTCATCAGGAAGATAACATGCAATGTCTGTTTGGAACGCGCTTGCAAACTGGAGCATAGAAGATAATATACAAATTCTTAGTTGTGATACTATAGATCAAACACAGTCGAAAATTTAAAATTCGACCTCCATCAACCAGCCAATTGGATGCCGCGGGCGATTTATGCATTGAAAAAAGCGATCAACTGAATAAGACGAACAAGAATAATGCGGCACTGTTGTTTGCTTTTTCATCGTAACTTCCTGCGTTAAGCCATTGTTCTAATGTATTTTGGCTTTAAATGTATTGTACCTTGTCACTATTTGTGCTTTCTGAACTCATTGAAGACCGTTGAAAACATCGATACAAAGGTCTCGAAAACTGCTTTACAGAAATTAAGCAACTATCTATGGTATTTAACCTATAAAATATGTAGCTGTCTTATCATTATATGATAACGACGTAGTTCAAGAAATTAAAATAAAAACGGATTGACCAAAGAAAATACGACTTCGTATCAGTTAAAAGAAAAGTATTATTCACCCGCCTTAGACCAGTACAAAAGCCTTTGAAAATGGTAATAACATATATTGATATTTTGATGTGAGAATTCTTGATTGAAAGTTACAGTTTTTTTCGATTTGAGATCGAAATAAGGTTATATACAATGTATTTTTCCCCAAAACTAGGTTATTTGAATTTTTCACATAAATTTTGAAGTTATGTGAAAAAGGTGTTGGTACAAAAGTTGTCGATCTTAAAATTCAACGACACCCCTCCCCTTCCTCGTCCCGACCGCGCATCGCCCGTAAATTATTTTTCCTTTAATTTTTGTTATTTTAAGTTTCGTTTCCAATGGATTTTAAAATACGATGATTTATTTTACTCTTAAAAATTATTTACTAAGGTCTACCTTCAAATTGATGATATTGTAGTTTTCTGAACAAAGAGTAATCCACTCAAACTTCGTTATGTGGCCGCTCGTTATATGGCATTTCGCTATAACGGACTTCTTAAATTAAAACACATTTTCATTACACGGCCTTAAATGTTTTACTATACGGTCAAACTTTTAAAAAAACTATAACATCAAAAATTGCTGTTGACACCATCGGTGAAATTTAACAACAATAAACCATGTTTGGAAAAAAATATGGACAAAATGTGTCAAAAGGCCTGAAATTAAGCAAAATATTTTGGTTCTAACACATGAATCGGGTTTGAAAATTTGAATGAACGTGATATGCTTAATCTACTTGAAGCAGATAGGGAATCCTTTTCATATGAGGAGCTCATTCAGCTGCAAACAGAACCGATGATGAAGGGACAGAGCCTTTGTATTTAAACAGCTAACATCAAAAAATTTATCGATAGATTTCTCCTATAGTTTCTCGAGGAATGAAGCTATTAGCTGTAATAAATCTCTCAAAAACGAAGTAGACAAGAGGACAAGACAAACAACGTTGGACAATTTTTTTCAGCCAGTTCCATACTTACCAGCGGAAAATTATGATGATTGTGATCTTTAGATTAAAAGCATTTAAAACAAGTAAGGAAGGGCTAAGTTCGGATGTAACCGAACATTTTATACTCTCGCAAAGTCAAATGGTAACTCGTTTGAGATTTCTTTGTGGATTGACTGATATTTTCGGTAGAAGGTCAACTATAGGCACTGGGGTCCACATATTAAGTA